CAAACGTTTACAACAAAATGACTGATTGGTGATCTTTTAAGGATAAGATTCCTCCTTAAGGTTTTAAATAGAAAGAATACCTCCTTGAAGAGTAGAGTTGTTAGAGCTTCTTGGTTGTTAATTACACTTACAGGCTGGTTTGCTGATTAACGCTCAGTTTCCCTGTAGATGAGAGCGTTCCCATCACGCTGAGATTGCTGCAGCCTCTTGTTAACCTTCATTGTTTGAAACAACCCCATAGCTCACCTTCAAGCACACTTATCAGCCTCTTTGTCCCAGAGCTCTCTCACTATCAACAATTATGCGTCTGTTAGGGGTGTGTGTGTACTGTAGGTGTGTGTGTATCTCTGTCCATCTCACCGGCTGTGAGGTTAGCAAAAGCACTTCAATATCCTCTCACTCTAACCTGATTATTAATTACAGTGCGCCTCAAGCTGACCGCAGCCCAAACACCGTCTGGCACAGTTTCCAAGGAGACGGACACAAAGTCATTCCCAAACAGGAATCATCTAAAAAAAGAAAAAAATAGACTTAAGCACCTTGGTAATCCAGTAGTTTCTCAACTTCTGACTCTTGTTATGTTTATTAACAGCGACACTCAAACAATTTTAATCACCATTCATGCCGATCAAAACTTATTCAAGCATGTCACATGTGAGTATAACGCATTAACGCCTGGCTGATGCTTCTAACTAGCTTGGCATTGTGTGAAAATCTTCATAACTTGCTAAGAAGTCAAGATGAAGCCCATCATCTGGAAGCAACATTAAGTTGATCAAAGTGATGGTGAGCCAGAGAGTCAGTTATGCCTGAGCAGAGCAGCACTCAGCTGTAATGAACCTGGAGCCGTGCCTGCAGCGAAGCTGAGGGACATCAAGCTTTGAATGGGCTCCTGGCAGTCAGCTGTATTTGTTTGAGTGTGTGTTAGTAACACACTTGTGTTAAGATGGAGGGTAGGTTAAGTACTTTCCTGCAGCAAAATATGGTTTCTAATGCTACACAAGTGAGTTATTTTAGAAGTTGCCAAACTGAGATGTGAAGCATTAGAGCGACACAATTTACCAAATGCTCTCATGGTGATGCTCTCCATATCTGGTTTATTTCCATTGATGCAATATATACCAAAGATCAAGGTTTAAGAAACATTCTATAAAAATTATTTTAAGAAATAACTTAATCTTTATTGTTTGGTATTTGGATGTTTTTTTTTCTGGCTCCACCTGAGAACAATGTTCTACAAAACAAGCAAGGAAACAAACCAAAGACAATTGATTCAGATTGATATTTACTGCAGGTAACAACAGTCAGGCATTACCAGGCGGTGCTCAGGCCCTTGCTTTGAGTGCGTTGAGTACATCTGGAATGTAGACACAGGACATCTCCAATCTCGCACCCCTCTGAAGTGATTTGGTCGTCTCCTCATTACCAGCTTCTCCTCCAGGTAACTGAGTAGAGTACGTTTCTTTGACATGTTTTCGTTGCCTGGGATTTTTAATTTTAGGGGTTTTCTATTTTTAGAGCAGAACACTTAGGTGGCCATTTCCCTGCTCTGACTTTAGAGTAACCACTGTACCCAGTTAACTGTGTAATGGGGTAATGCTGTTCTATATGTACATTTTTGGTTGACTGGATGAGGAACAATGTTTTTGTGAGGTCTTAAAAGGTTATAGTCTTAATTTAGAGCTTAGAAATTAGGTCCTTAAGTAATTTACCGGTTTCCTCCATTCATGTTTATTAAAAATCAACTTATAGGATTTGATTATTAGGGGATTTGCAGCATTCTTCAGCACTTTTCTGACATATGAAATAGAAAAAGGTTGGAACTACATTTCAAGCATTTATAAGAATAATCTAGGAATTCCCTAAATTTGTTGCTCGATTCATTATGTAAGCTATTGTGTATTTTCCTATGTGGTTGTGAAGTAGTTTGGTCGAGGTGAACCAAAAAAAAAAAAACAGCTTCAGCCACCGGTTCCAGTTTCTCGAGCTTCCAAGAGCTCAGGGCTTATATAATCAAGTGGCAACACACCTGCACTTGAGTGGACAAAGCCTCAATTAAACAGGTAAAAAAACAAAAAAAAAAACAAAGTCTAAACAGAGAAACAGGAATAAACGTAATCTAATTTACAAACTCATCAACATAAAGAAAGATTCTGCAAAATAAACAGTGTGAAACAAGATAACTCAAAAAGTTACTTTAAAGAAAAAAAAACAAAGCATAACTCAAAAGGAAACCCTCTAAATGGTAGAACCCAGCAAAGTAATGGATGACATCATTTAGTCACTTTAGTAGGAAATACAATGGTGAGTAAAAAGGAAAACAAAAGCCATGAATATACTTTGAAACATTATAAACAATTTCATCCAATAATCCTGAAGTAATAGCTTTAACATAAACAAAAGTAGATGGAAACTGCAACATAATGCTAACTTAAACAAACCCGGGATAGTAAGTGAAAGTCAAAGTTGCAAACTAATGTTTAAATTTAAGCATTAAAAAGATTCAGAAGAATGAAAAAGGGACAAGTGGTAAACACAAACTAAACCACTTTGTCACAGTGGTCTTCTGCTTCCTTATCAGATTCCCCTATAACTCTCTAGCCTGTCTAAGAAACCGCCGCTAGTGATGCAGTGAGGAAGACAATTGCCCTCTTTCCAGAAACAGCAATGAAAACCTGCAGCTTATCTTGTCAGGAAGCAAGATGGCATTGTCTCAAGGTCGCCTCAGATGGCGACACAACCAAGATTCATACAAGAAACTAGCAGGAATAAATCCCAATATGCTTAAGAGCAGGACAGTAAATCAAACCCCCTCATCAGTTGTTTAATCAAGACTCCTCTCACCTGGCAGGAAGTGGATGATGAGGGTCAACTTAGGGAGGCTGTTCTAATTACCCAGGGATTGCTCTAAACTTGACCATGTGTTCATAGTCACACAACATTTTCTAGTTGGTGGAACTTACTGTTCTGTAAGAGGCTGATGATCCATTTATGATCATGGAGGTGTCCTAAGAAGGACACTTACCCAAAGCACCGCTGGGTGAAGATCAAACAGGAAGATTACAGCCTGTATCTTTATAAGGAAATGTACTCTGTACTGACAGAGCTAAAGTTAGGCAATCTAAAGTGGAAAAGCACAGAGGTCACGTGCCAACCCCCCCAAAAAAAACTTTCTTAAAAACATCATTAGGTTTTTTTTTCCAAGACACTTGTAAAATCAGGCCTTTAAAGGCAGATTCTTTGTATTGCATCTAAATAAACTCTAGAACATATGTTTCTATAGACAAACATCCACTCTCTCATCTCAGAGATATATAGATTCTTTCATATTTCTAAACCATTATTTTGTGTTTTACTCAGAATTATTAATCACATCTATGCCTCTATTGCAATTTAGAAACACTGACAAAAATGTACTGTTTCATTTTATAGTTGAACTCACAGACGGTGAAGGAGAATGTAGAATTTGCACAAACAGACCGCTTTAGCTAACATGTTCCCTTGTGTTTTAACATGACAGCTGGTGTGGGTGGCAGAGTGGGAGCTGAGGGGTAAATGAGATCTCCTCTTTAATCAGAAGGATTAAATGCTATAAACTGAGGTTCCTAACCCTGATCTATAAAGTGGGAGGGATACTTGAGGAAGGAGGGCTAATGGAGTCCCACAGCTCACTGGCTGTAATTTACTGCTGAAAGTTGGGATGGATAGTGTGGGGGTGGTCCTAATTGGTGGTGGATCCAGACTTTTTTTTATTGGAGTGGGGGTGGAAGGGTAGGCTGAGATGATTACTCAGTGGAACAAGTAATACAAAAACATGTGGAACAACTTTTTCACATTTTGTCTAAACAGAAATTAACAAACATTTTAAGAACATGAATAAAACATTTAACAAAAGTAAGAAACAAAATTTTTTTTCTTCGGTCGTTTAGGGGGCAGCATTACCCTTAAAGTGGGTTTGCTGTCACACAGACAGGAATAGTGACTTGCAGCTAGTAAGCAGATCTATGCATCTTAATAGAAGAAGAAACTTGCATTCAATTCCTGCAACAATGAACTCAGGACAAGAAAGCTTTCAAGGCTATGAAAGTTTTTAAACCCAGGTGTGAAACATCTACAAAATTTTTTTTAAAAATACAGTAGAATCTAAATTGCAATGTTGGGTGAAAATAATCACAATTAAGATTTTTGGCCCTAATACAGCATGTTGGTTGAACTAATTTGGATAATTTCCTTGCCCTATTTTGTCACAAAACTGCAAAAAGCAAGATAATGAAATGTATATCATATAAACATAATGTTATTACTGTAGTAATTGAGAAGAAAATTGATAAATGTCTAATTTAAATTATGCATTCAAAAAGTTCATTTTCTTTCATATATCAGTTATTTATATAGATATAAAAATGAGCAGATAATGTTTTAAAGTAGATTAGTTTGAAATCAGCTGCATGGTGGAGGTCTGTGCTCTCAAAGTGCTTTCTAGTTTTATTCTGGATTCATGTACATCTCTTCTTTGTTAAGACCTGTAAAGTAAAAAATTTTCATAAAATATAACAAGACAAAAAGTAAGATAAGTGGAAAGAAACTGTTTATTATTGCCACCAACAAACACTTTTTTTATCTACAGTAGTCATGCTGTAGTTTGTGGTTTACTTCTTTGTCTTTTTTGCCTGTCAGTGTCTGTCAGCGGCCTTTTGCTCCTCCTGGCACATTTCCTCAAACCATCCTTTTTATTTTTGCAAAACAGTCCCATCCACTTAGGCTGATTGTTAGATTTTGCAAACGTGGCCTCAGAACTTTACCCCAAGCATAAGCACACAGTTTTGTGTGGGTCCATCCATCCATTCCCCCAGAATCTGGGCAACAGTGTCATTATCCAGTCCTTGTCCTGGTCAAGCTTTCGTCCTTAGCTGCCATTGCTTGGTTCTTGGTATGTTCTTTTGAGTAAAAACTGTTTTTTCTCTCCCTGTTTTCATTTTTAGCTTCCATCCACATGTTCTCTAAGAGCTTTTGTCCTTTTTGGTCTTCTTGGTGAGGTAGTTTTGATAGTAAAAGTTACTGAAGAGAGCAATTAGGCTGAGAGAATAGGCCAAGACAACCGCATTCATGGAGTCAGGAAAGTCGCAGTCAGCAAACAGGTTGTAGGTGGTGTGCATGGTGACTATGAGGAACTGCAACTGATCAGACACACAAGGAAATGGAAAATAGCTTTATTTTAAATGTTTATAGAACGATAACATAGCTGCAGATATATATTCATTATTGAACGTGGTCAGGGAATAAATCATAAATAACCAGTTAACCTAAAAGTAGCAATGAATGTTACCCTGTTATAATAATTGTAATGTTCATATGAAGTTAAGTAAAAAAAAAAAACAGATAAAGATAACTTCATTTTTAAAACTCCTAGTTTGATTTATTTGTCTGTTAAACTTTCTTAACATTTCCTTTTTAAATATTATCATATCTTTTTTAGATTATTTTCTTTTTATTTGCAGTGAAAGGTTATTACCAGTTATAGTTCTCCTACCTGTAGTAGAAAGAAGTTATATCACAGTGAGTTTGTAGAAATGTAAATGTAGATTCCATATTCAGGGAATGCTAAACATTTGCACAAATGAAACCCTAGAATTTGATTAAATATATCAATTTAAACTGACCCTAAAAATGTTGATATACAGACCCAAAAAATTCCCCACAGTGTCCTGCAAACGAGATGTTTAATATCTAAGAACATTTGGTTGTCCCCCACAGACATCTTATAGTGTGTTAGCCTTCCACTGCTATGAGGATTTTATTTTACTTTACAATAAAATGACTGTGATATGATATCAGGAAATAGCGGTGATAACAGAACCCCACCTCTTCAAGATCATCATTTCCTCTTCCAAAGCACTGATTAAATATGATTGGCTGACTGGGATCTTCATTTTCAAAGCCGTTCATTACGCAACAAAAGATTTTCTGTATATAATGTAATAAGTAACTTATCTGTAAATCCTTGAATCTATTTTTTTATTATTACTAGTTCTGATGTGCAAACATCATGCAATAAAAATCATACCAATTCAAAACCTCACATGGCTGCACTTGGTCTTCATATGTTCAATGATACAGATATCTATACTTACCAGCTGCAGGGAGGTGAGGTATTGTTTCCACCACAGGTACTTTTTCATGTGCGGTCCTAGTGCTGCGAGCCCGTAGTACAAATACATTACTATGTGGACCAGCGAGTTGATCAGACCAATCAGGAAAGCTACAGAGAGATACACAACATGCATTATATAATCACCATCCGGTATGTTCTGTTACTGTCATAATGCTTTCTGCTGAAACACAATGTGTGAATGTATAGTATTCAGTTTGTTACATAAGGTGAGGTGTACTTACACTGACCCCCGGCGACATATTTAACTCCAGCCCACCAATTGAAGATCATGGTAGCATGGTGGTAGACATGAAGGAACGTCAGCTGACTATTTTTCTTCCGCAGAATAAAAAATATCTGTATCACACAAACAAACACCAATTAAAGCATAACCAAAGCTTTTGTATAATTAAAATATAGTATTGTTTATATTTTTCAATGCAAGTACACATCTAACTTCAGCAGAATTTTATTTAAAAAATGGCTTCAAAGTTAAGAGCAACGGATTGACGTATCTCAGCATAATAATGTCTGCTACCCTTCTTCAGTTATCTCTCAGGGAAGTTTCTTCCTGTTTTATATACTTTCTCTTTATCAAAATTTACCCAGTCAGTGAGGCTTTTATTTTCACACATAAATCTACAGCAGATTCAGACAGAAGAAAAGTTGCTTTAAAATTCTGGACCACTAAAGTGACTATTTAAAGAAAATAAATGACCTAAAAACAAAAATTAGGATTTGATGTGGTTTTATGTGTTGACCAGTGTAGGGCCCACTTTCTTCATCTGGATTTAGTCAGGAAATCAGTAACATTAAGCTAAAACAGACATACAGCCCAATTTCAGAGATACTATGTTTAAAACCAGCACCTTATCATTTTTACTGAATACAGCACCAGTGTAAATAAGTAACCATGAATGTAAACACAGTTTATTTGTGAAATTAACCTCTGTTTGGTCTGTTTTAACTTAAAAACTACCGTTTTCTAATTTCCTCTGTACTCACGGTGTCGCTGAGCTCTATGACTTTAGAGAAGTAAAACCACCAGCAGACTCTGGCCATCTGTGCAAAATACACAAACATATACATACAATTACTTTAGAATGCATATTTAACATGTTTAATTAATTATGCAAATGCTGGTAAATTTTCAGTGGGTTTTTTTCACCTTTTTTGGAATACTTTTATCTAAATAGTTTCATATAAACAATTAGTTATCAGTAAGGTTAAAAAGAAACAAAACTTTGGTTAACTGCGGTACACTTTTAGCCACATAAGAGTACTTAAACAACTAAACCTATATAGTATCTAAAGTCAAAGAGAAAGAAATTTGTATTTTGATTAGTGGGATTTATGTATAACAACACTGACTATAAAACAAATATAATTTCTGTCAAGGGGTGCAAGAGGCACAGTTGTTACTACTGTTGAGGAGTCCCAGCTGATGCACTATTTGCATGCAGTTTTCCTATTTATTTGTTTATTCCTGTCATTACTCCTTTTCCTTATAAAATCCTAAAATACAGAAGTTCACATTGAAATTGGGACATATTTCTCTACAGTATGCAGGATAATAATACTGAACCTGAAAGAAAATAGAGTCAGGAAGGCAACAGAGGAATTAAGGACAGAATAATAATAAAAAAATGACAATGACAAAAAAGTCAGGATTAAACTAAACACATTAAAAAAAAAGAAAAAGTGGAAAAAAGAAACAACGAAGGACAGGAAGGAATAAAGAAAGAATGATATAAGATGTTAGGGTAAACATGTGGAAGGACAGAAAGCAAGAAAGACCTGAGAGACAAAAGGATAAGAGGAAGAAAAGAAGAAAAATTAGGGAAACAAAGAGGGAAAGAGCAAAAAAGGAGGAAAAAATGAAGAATAAAGGAACGAACAAAGGAAAGAATTGAAAACTGAATGACTTAATGAAGCTAGGGTAAAAGTATACAAGAAAGAAAAGTGGAAGGAAGAAAAGATGCAAGCATGGAAAGAAGATAAAAGGTATTAATAAAGACAAAGTGACATGGGGAAGATAACAAAAGGTAAGCAACAAATAAACAGAAATAGGCAAAGAAAAGTGAGAGGAAGGACAAAGAAACAAGAGACCATAGGGAGGAAAAAAATCAGGAATGATGGAAGAAACAAAAATACAATGAAAGGGACACAGGAAGAATGGAGGACATAAGAAAAGGAAGAAGAGACACATGGAGACAAAGAACAAAACGCAAGTAGGAGTTTTAAATGGAAAGAATTATGTAAAAAGAGACACAAGGAGGAAAGATTAGGCAAAATAACATCACAAGGGTACAGGATGAAAGAAGGGATATATTCGGCTAAGGAAGAAAAGAAGGATACAAGGAGGAATGAAATTTGCCAATTTTACGGCGGCGGGTTGAAGAATAAACTATGGAAGTATACCGACTTGGGAAAATCATACTGAAATCATATGCCATAAGTTTGATTTCCCTATTCATTGACTTGAGTTTGATGCATATTTTCTTCTCTTGATGTTAGATTAAAACCATCTCAAAAGTATTTTAATTTTCTCCTGATAAATAAAACACTTAAACCGATAGAATGTGTTACTAGGGATGGAACTTATGCAAAGAAATATATACAAATGGAGATAAAAACAAAATATTAGAAAAAATCCTTAAAATCAAACTGTGTTAATGGCTGTAAAAAAATATATATATATATATACATAAAAAAAAAAAAACATTACCCGTAGAGCCAATGGGCTGTTGGTGTAGTCAACTGGTTGGCACAGCAAACTGTATCTGGCCAACCAAGAAGATGCAGTGAACTAGAAAAATGTAACATCAATATTAGTGGAATCTCATTACTTTAAAGACTAGTTGATTTCCCTTGTTCCTGTGTACCTCAGTTTACCTCATAGAACATATAGACGGAGAGACAGACCATGGCAAAATTGTAAACAATAAGGACAGGTTTGAGGTTGACGGGCTGTCTGTTCGCCATCAGCTTTGGTCCGACCCATATAATGATCAGGTAGCACATAAATATACAAGTAATTGGCACAGGAGAGTAGACCAGAAGCCAGTTGTCTGTCCTTTTGTCTGTGCAGGAAAATACAAGAAAAATAGCACAGTTAAACAACAAAGAATACAGCAAAGTAATGCAGTTATTTTAAGCAATGAGCTAATAATACAATCTTGCCTCCATTTTCCAGGATGCCTTGGTAGAATAATTGGACTTTCTGCCACTTGGTGACAACATTGCTTCCCTGCAATAGACACATGAGTACAATTCAAAGTTTTAAAGTACCACACTATTGGGAAGCACTTCATATACTTCATTTAAACCTGGGCACAGCATCCCCACTCTAAAACACAAGAAATAATTCTTGCATATGGGTTGTTTTCTTTAGGGAGAGGAAAGTGGGTTAGAAGATTGATGGAGTTGAATAGAGAATGGTGAAGGAAACCCTGTTAGGCTCCATAAAGAGATGAAACTCACAGGTGTGTCTACTAGCAAGTTAGTAACAGTAAACATCCAACCACAGATAAAAGACAAAGGTTTAGCTCAAAGGATATTTAACGAGGACATAATTGGCCGGCTTAAGACAAATCTATCCCATGCTTTGGAGAATTTTTCTAGTAAAAATTCTTAAAGTTACTATAGATATTGCTTTTCTTTCAATTTACAGAACGACGCTTTTAAATAGTTTTTTTTTTTTTTTTACTCATTTCTTTATCTCATACTGCATATAAACAGAGTTACCTTAGAAAAAATTACTAATTTCCTAATTCCAACACATTAATATGCAAACAAACCAATATTAAAAAGTATTACCAGCTCAAATTGACGAGGACATGATTCACTGCAATTAGATTTCTCAAAACTGCAAGCAGTCTAAAAATCTCAGTTAATCGTGGGTAATTCCTCAATAAACACTACTATCACAGCCAATGTGGCTTTACTTAGTGTTTGCTTAGCCTGTTAGCTATTTACCCTTGTTTTAAAAAAAGATTTAGATTGCTTGCAGGTCCAGTCTGACTCTTGCAACGAATTACTCCTTTCCAGTATTAGGCAATGATGAAAATTTAGTTTCTGCTGTTATGATGATTGCCACAGTCTCAGAGTAGGATTATTAACATATGACAGCTCCTATACAGTAAATAGGTTATTTATGAGAATATCAAAGTGTGTGTAAACACCTTGCAAAACTTCTGTTGACATGCTCATGTTGATGCTGTCAAGTTATTTTAATTTTGGGTCGACACATTTTGATTACTGGACAGGACATGAGATCGCCTGAAACTTACAGGTTGGAACTTAACTTTGAAAACAGTGATACAAACCCATTGTTGTGGCCATTTATTTAAAACTTTTGTAAATCGCAAGTTCCTTTTAGATTTCTGTTTAGTTTTATTCTGTTGACAGAATATATTTAAGATTGTTTGAAACCAAAATCTATCATTTTTATTTTTGGAATTGTTTTGATTACTTTGGTCAATTTTAGACCCGCCCATTAATTTAAAAGATAAGGAACACAAGGCAGGGGCAGGGAGATGTTTTTTTGGTTGTTGTTCAAATATCTGTTGTGAGGATGGGAGGTGGAAAAAAGATTTTTTGACCACTTTTGATCATTTACCTTTTTTGAAGGCTGTACCAGCAGATTAAGTTAACTTTCTATATTATATAAGCTGTAAGATATTTTTAGTTATATCATGTCTTTTGTTGTGTTACTCTGCTGAAAATAAACAACATATATTTTTCCAAGTCAGAAGTATGTATATGAAACCTGTTGCCACCAACGGCCTTCAGGAAAATGTTTTTTTTTTTTGAGCACAGAAGGCCACGACACCGAATATATGTTAACACACTGTACCCTGTTCAATGGTTATATCAAGGAAGAATCTCTCTGTGCAAACTTAAACAAACCACCTGGTGATGATCTGGATTTTAATATGAGGATTATGTTGGCTAATCCAAACGTATCTCCTGATAGTGGATAATAACTTATAATCCTCCTTATAAATGACTGCCTCATGTTGAGGACAAGACAATTAACCTTCAGAGGCCAGTGTGATGTAATAGTGCTGCCATCTAGTGTCTAAAATAAGCACACAGTTCAACTAAATGTATTTTTCTTCGTATTTATTTATTTAAAGTTGGTCACTGTAACTTTTCTAGTTTCATGTTCTTGTTCTGTATTTTTTTTAATTTAGCACAAAATAAAAATTCTAACTAATACCCACCACATTCTCTCTCTTTTTGTTTTTCTTTTTTTTTACTGTATATAATACAGTACAGTCAGACATGCAATTCTATCAAATTCAGTTTAAACAAGTCCTCTATAGGATGGAGGTCAAAGCTTTTCCATTGGCAACTCCAAAACTTTCCCTTGGCTTCTTTAAATCCACTTTGAAACTAATTGGGCTTACAGCTTTGGGTCAGGGCTTTATAGTGGCACAGTTCTTAGTACTCTTGCCTTACAGCAAAAATGTGCCGGTGTGATTTTTGGCCTTGGGTTATTCAGTATGAAGTTTCTCTTTGGGTATTTCATATCTCTCCTGTCCAAAAAAACATGCCTGTAAGTTCAACTGGTCTCTGAATGTCCTTTGGTTTTGCCCAGTGAGCACTGGGGACAATATAGAAACAATTCAAGTTTAGTTCTATTGCACCACATGCAATGTCCCAAGAAATTATAGTATGTCCCTATACAGAGGTAAAAAAAAAACTATTTCGGCTGTATTTTTTGTTTTTTAAGAAATGCCATCTTTCTCTCAAAGGCCCATTGTAAAATATTTTCTTATGCAATGTATGTAAATATTTGGCTTCAGCTATGTCTCACGTGGGCTATACACCAGCTTCTGTATATTTCTGTACCACATTAAGTAACAAATAAGATATTGTCTGTTTTTCTGTCCATCACATCTTAAAGTAACCTGCAGCAGTATAAACTGTACATCCTGAAGGAACATGTTGTTTAGACAAAGCTAAGCAGTTAAGCCTCAACTGTAGCCTCCCAAGGATTTACTGAAAAAAATCCCTCCTGTCGTCAGACGAGATTAACATCCACATTATTTAGAATGAGATTATAATCAAACAGATTCCAAACCCCATAATGACTGATAGTTGAACATAATATTGAACAGATTCATGCGCAAAAGTTCTTGGACCATTCAGTTTTTCAAGAATAAACCCTGCCTCTCATTCAGTGGCTGCAGTTGCGCCCCACCCTGCACCAGATAAGGCATAGATTTCTAAAGCACTTATGGATTGTCTCCTGCAAGCTGCTCCTGCAATTTTAGAGTTTATAGCTATTAGACAAAGCAATTAGCCATTTTAAAAAGAGGCCCTTGTTGAACCAGTTGGCAAGGGTTAAGGCATAATCTGTGCAAGCAATAATAAAATTTCTACTGTACCGTCATTTTGATGGTCAATCAGGGTGTATTTTAAATGGCTTCTCGTTTTTTACGTCCAGTCAGAGCACACTGCATCTCAGCCAAGACTTAAGCTGCTCTGAGGTAATCGACCTGTCTCTGCTGTGTGTATGGGGTATGGCTCACCAGCTAAATTAACCCTGTTAGTCATGGGTGTACAAAAGTATACAAACAAGGAATTCACAATATTCTGAATGGTATATACCCATTTATATGGTATCCCTTACAAATGTAAATTTATCACCGCAAACAGAATAAAGTCTGACATAACTGCAAACCTACCTAAATAAAGGCCCAAAGCATAAACAGTGAGACTGACAAAAGTCTTTGGCTCCTTTGGATGAGCTGCAGGGGTACAGATGGGAGAATATGTTGGAAAGACAGTCACTAATTGAGCACTTTAAAGGGTTAACCTCTATACAAGAGTGGCAAGATAAAAGTCATTGTGGAAGGAAAGCCATAACAAGTCTTATTTTATTTTGCGAGAAAAGTGTAAATGCACATGTTAACATATTTGGACTGTCAGAAGAAAAAATAAAACTTTAATCATCTACTGTGTACAAAAACTTTTTGCTGCACCCAGATTTTGGCTCCACCCAGTGGACAAAAGCTGTATTGTTTTGCCTGAAGAAAGACCACATTTCCCATGAGGACCAGTGCATAGCCTGGTAAAATCCTAATCTCCCGCTTCCAACGGTGGAATTTAACTACATTTCTGTTTCCAGTGGCTGTGTGAAAGATGAATAGCGATGAGGTATCTAATTGTGGCAACATGATGTCAGATGACATTTATCACTAGTAGAATTGATTACTGCATCAGTGTCTTCATAGGTTTGCCTAAAAAAATCACCAGACAGCTGCAGCTGATCCAAAACTCTGCTGCCAGTGTTCTCACCAGAACCTGGAAAGTAGAACACATCAGCCTGGTTCTGAAGCTCACAGAATATACTTTAAAATCCTTCTGTTAGTCTATAAGTCACTGAATGGATCAGCACCTCAGTACATAACAGATTTCTTATTAGTGTATCAACTTCCCGGTCTTCTATTTTAAGCCTACACTGTAGACCGAGAACTAGATCCAAACATGGAGAAGCAGCATTTATCACTATGCTCCACTGATCTGTAACAAACTTCCAGAAGACTGTTAAAGTCTATAGCCAAAGTAAAAAAAACAACAACATTTGTTTAGAAGTGGCTTTGACTGTTGAAGTTAGACTCTTAACTGAGGTACTATTATAAGTTTTTTTTTTTTTACTATTATAAGGGTTTTTTATCCTTGGTTTCTTTTTTCTTCTTTTATTTTTATCCTATTTTATGATCTAATTCATGTAAAACACATCTGAAAGGTCCATTTACTGACCTATGCTATACAAATAAACTTGCCTTGCCTTGATGTTGTTGAAAATAACAATTGTTTAACTTTTGGTTTTGTACCGTTTTCGTATTCCTGATCCTCCACTCTCCTCCACCTCAACCGACTCATCAGCGACTGATGTCCTGACAAGTTTAGAGCCTTGAAACAGATAAATATAATGTTATGTTTGATGATTTAACATTAAAATGTCCCATAGATCCCAGCAGTAAGTGTAAATCCCAGGAGGAAGGTGCCGAATTGCCTTGATATAAACCCCACACAATTTGCATGAGTACATCCGTCCTAACCCCTAAATCCCCCGATCACTATATAGAGCAGGGACTGTTAGATTTCCTTGCTACAATTGATCAGATCTATAACAATATTATTTTAGAAAGGGTTGAATCTGCTTGACAAATTAAGGTAATACAACTAGGACGGTTTAAATTGTATTTGTTCAACATATTTAAGTTTTGTGCTGTTACTGATAGATTTTCTTAAAGCTCCAGAGTTTTTTGTGGAGTACCAGAGGGATCAGTGCTTGGGCCAGTTCTCTTCGCTATATGCCTCCAAAAGGTAAAATGATCAGATAGCATGGGACTAATTTCTACTCGTGATGCTTAGGTCTATCCATTAACAAATCCTGATAAAGGCAACCCTTTAGACAGACAAGCAACATCTCAAGGAGATCAAAACCTGGATCTGTTTAGCTTTGACACCATCCTGGAGGGAGGCATCAGCTTTGCTACTGCCTTCATTAGTTGCAATTATAGATGTGGGCCTGTTTTTTAGTGTTTTATTCCCTTTTCTCTCCTAGAAATAGATATGCGTTCATCTTCTTCTGTGAGTGACTGTGCTTTCTTTCATCCTTTTTGGGAGGAAAACTGGCCCAAAGCTCATCTACTTACCTGTTTCCTTCTTAGACAGAGCCACCAGTCGACCTCGACAGAAGGCTGCTCACACGAAGCCTGGCTCTGCCCGAAGTTTCCTTCTTTTAAAAGGGCGTTTTTCCTTTATGCTGTCACTACATACCTGTTTGATGTGAGGGACTGCTGTAGATTCAGTGGAACAATGTAAGCTACTGTTGCCCTGTGCCGCTACATGCTCAGCCAGGACGAATAAATTCAGAAAAGTCAATGACTTGATGCAATCAGTTGGGTTTCCTTTGACAGTAAACATTAACCAATCAATCTGTATGAGTTGATTGAACTGTCTCCTTGTGGCCTAATGGTTGGGGCATAGAGCATTTAACCCATTCCCTTGGCGAGCTTGGAGTCTCTGAGCCAGACCCTTAACCCCAGACTGCTCCCTGCACCCCATGATGGCAGCCCACTGCTCGCCGAGGGGATGGGTTAAATGCAGAGGTAAATTTCTCCAATGTGAGATCAATAAATTTCATTTATTATTATTATTAAGTTATCTGAGATGACATTTGTAGTAAATTGTTACTACATAAATATTTGCTTTTCTTTCTTACACTGCAAATTTTTGGTCTCCAAAATAAATGTATGCAAGACACATCATGGTTTATATTTGTAACATGAACAACAAAAGACAAAATTCAAGACATCCATCCATAAGGTTATGTATAAATCAGAAAAAAAATTATTTTTGATTTAGTCATGTTTTTACTCTTTAATTTTACTCTTTAGTCTTACAATGATTTTTCAAAGTTATTTCGCATTATATTTTATAAAACAGTAATATATCCCTACAATTAAATAAATCTAGCTAAAAGAAATTATGAATGCACACTGAAGAGCATTTATACCAAAGTGTGTATAGAAATAGAAGGTCAATCTTTTTTCTAACTAACTTAATCTATGGCTCTTAAGGATGTCATCCATTCCTGCAGGTAAAAACTGAAGCAGAAAGTGAAACACTGATTACAGAATCAGCTTCATAGAAGTAATCTGACTTAGTGAGAACAGCTGAGCAGTGTTACACCTCACTGCCTCTGCATAGAAACAGTAGCTGCATGTCTCTTCCCTGGCTCCCTAACATCCATCCGCAGCCTCCTGTAGGTTTTCACACTTTGGACTTCATTAACGGGAGAACTGGAGGAGAACTGACTACTGTTTTCTACACAGAAGCACTGAGAGTCACAACAGCAAAAGCCTGGCTGTACATAAATCAGATAAACTCCCTTAAAGATTTTATCAAAGAAGTCCAAATTTACCACTAAATGATTGTTTTGATCCATTATAGAACCTGCTAATATTTCCTATGCAGGTAGGTGTGCTGTAGATGATCTTCAGGTTGGAAAGTTTGGTCCATATCTTGATCCTGGGATTGATGTTTATGTTTTGACATTATGATGGTAGAAATTCACAGAACTGTGATGATGGGTACTTTTGTTCGGAGACTTAGTTGGGGGGGTGTTCCCTTCATCTGGTGGCCTGGCGGTAGACTGAGCTGAGGTCACCTTTATGAACAAAGACAAAAAAAAAGAACTAGATTTCGGTACTGTTAGATTAAAAGGTGCTCCTGCTTCATCCTACAGTCCAAAAACATTTCTTAAAGGAATAGTATACCCAAAACATGATTAGCCTTCATTT